GCCCTCGCCCGCGCCGTGCTGCCGCCGCCGCCGCCGCCGTGCTGCCGCCGCTCCCTCCCTCCCCCCTTTCCTGCCCCCCTCCTTCTCCTGCTCCTGCTCCTGCTCCTGCTCCTCCTCCTCCTCGTCCTCCTCCTCCTCCTCCTGTCCTCCTCCTCCGCCTCCTCCTCCTCCTCCTTCTCCTCCTCCTCCTCCTCCTCCTCCTCCTCCTCCTCCTCCTCCTCCTCCTCCTCCTCCCCCTCCTCTCCGTATCCATTTTGGCTCAGGCTTTTCCGTCGGCACCTCGCTCCTGGATTCTTCCTCGGCGTACACCTGCGACCCCAGATTCACGGGGCAACGCGGCGGGCGTGAGGGAGGGGGGGGCGGGGCTTTGGGTTCAACGGGAATGGCGACGGGGCGCGGCCCGAGAGCGTGGCGGCCTGCGGAGTCCTGTTGGCGCGACATCGCCGCGTTCGGCGTCACCGCCGCCCGGCGAGGCTGCCATCCAGCCCCTTGTGCAGGCTCGCAGCGAGCCTGGCTTGTGCGGCGACCGCGAGCTGGCGGCGAGGCCGGCGCTGGTGTTGCTTGCCCACGGACGCGGTGGCCTCGGCTCCCCCCGCCACCGCCGGAACGCCGCGTGGCACACTCAGCGGGTCCCGCCAGGCGGATTCGCCCACGCGTCCGCGGCGGACATCGCGTGGGCCTCTGCGTGCCTCAGGTTCGGCAGAGGCGGCGCTGAACCCACCTCGTGCGGAACCGCGCCGACCGTCGGCGTGCAGGTGGACGCGGAGGCCCAGCGCGTGGACGCCCCGCCCCTCCCACCCCAGGAGGCTGCCGTTGCCCCCCCCCATCCTGGCGAGGACCTTCCTCGTCCTGGTAGTTCTCCTCGCGCTGGCGACGACGCCGGTGTTCGTCCAGATGCTGGTGTACTTCCTCGCGGTGATGCTGGTGCTGGCCGTCGTCCCCGCGACGGCTCGGACGCGCAGCAGACGGGCGTGCGTGACCCGTGCTCCCACGCGCCCGATTTGCCCGAGGACGAGGGCGGGAAGGTGGCAGAGCAGTCGCGCGACCTGGGAGGCCACGCGCTGTGCAGGGGGCACCGCGGGCGCGCTGAGCAGGCCAACCCTATCGCGCCGTTCGCGTGGGCGCTTCTCCGCTTCAAGAAGAGCATACTGGCCTTCGGCGACGAAGACGAGACCATCCTGACGGTCGCGATGGCGACCGCGCGAGCGGCGTTCGGCGGAGACGACGGGCTTCGCGCGGAGACGGACGATAGTTTCGCAGGTGCCAGCGCGTCGGAAACGCATCCTCGAGGCGCAGGTGTTCCGCAGGCTGCTCTTCGCCGCCATGATGCTCCCGACGTTCGCCTGGGCTCCGCGGCGGGCGTGGCGCGCGCCGTGGAGGTGGGCGACGCGGCCTTGCCCGAGCGCGCGCCCCTCCGCTTCGACGCCTCTCCCATCGTGCCCAGCCGCGGCGTCGCCGCCGCGAACGACGCCCCCGACGGGGGGGCGGAGGTGAGTGGCCCTCGGGCGCCTGCGGGGGATCCCCATCTTCTTCGCGGCGCGCGGCAGGCGCCCGAGTGGTGCTGCAGAGGGCGAGGTTGGAGTTCCACCTCGGCGAGACCCTCGTGCAGCAGCTCTGAGGTAGCAGCCGACGAGCAAGACCCGTCACAGGACGGCTTACATTGTGGCTCGTCGGACTGACGTTTGTTTCAGGGTCGGCGGCGCTGCGCTTGCGTGAGGCGCCCTTGCCGATCCGCGCTCCTGCGAGCGCCTCCATTTCTACCTGATCGCGGTGAGGCTCGCTCGCGCGGTTGTGGTCGCACCTGGGTGCGCTCTCCGGTTTGCTTCGACCTGCTGCTCCTCCTCCTCCTCCTCCTCCACCTCCTCCTCCTTGTGCCTGCGTCCCCCTTCCTCCTCCTCCGTTCTGCCAACCGCCCCCTCGTCGTCGTCGTCGTCGTCGTCGTCGTCGTCGTCGTCGTCGTCGCCCTCGTCCTCGTCTTCGTCCTCGCCGTCCTTTTCCTCGTCCTCGTCCTCGTCGTCGTCCTCGTCGTCGTCCTGCTCTTCATCGTCGTCGCCGTCGTTGTCGCCGTTGTCTCACACACTGGGCGTTTTTGCCAATTGTCGGGCCCAGATCGATGGGTTTTAGGGTCGTGACAATGATTTTTCGCGACGTTTCAGTTTTGTCGCAACATTGGATCTCAGCCCTGGTTCGAGGTCCGCTCGTCGGAGGACGGACAGCGACGCCACCACCAGAGGGGGCCAGCTCCAGCGAGGAGGTCCGCGATGGTTCACCAGGCCAAGGACGGGATGTCTCGAGCGGGGAGGGGGGGGCCCACACCACCAAGGGGACCCCCTGGTAGATCCTCGCACTGGTAGTGGCGGTGCCGATTTTCCTTGTTCCCGGTTTCAGGTCGTGCAAGCCACGCATCGGGAAGGGCGCGTGGGCAGAAAAGCCCGCGAAGTTGCCAAGACAAACCTAGACAGTTGTGGAGCGATTGCGTGCGCTGAGAGACTCGACGGAAGCATTGATACCTGGCACATCGCGATTATGACTCAGTAGAGACGGGAGCGCTGGCTCCAGGTTTTGATAGAGGTTCCAGGTTTTTGGCCTCTTTCGGGCCGGCGTGAGGCCTCTCGTCGCCGCGGCTGGGCCCGTCTCGAAATTCGGCCAGAGCGCGCCCTGGGAGAGCTCCGCAGGGAGCGGTTTCTGGCCGCCGTTCTCGTGTTGATGCGGCTGGTTGGAGGCTCGAGGTCTTCGGGGACTGGGCTTTCTCGTGGAACATGTGACCGAGGCCAGAAACTTAGCCTGAATGGACCCCAGGACGGGTTTGGGGGCCCATCTCGAGCGGACGTCGTCAGGCAGGCCTAGAATCGAGCTGAATCTCTCCAGATCGCTTTGGAATGCTTTCAGAGCGTTCCAGAACGCTCTGAAACGGCCGCGGAGCCCGATGCATCCTCCAACCCCGCCAGTTCTAAGCGATTCCTTTTTTTATTCGTAAAGGCTTCGTCCCATGCCGCCGGCCCTCTGTCTCGGATCATGGGAGATGCAAAAGCTAAATCATGAGGTCTGGGCGCCGCCGTGAAGCAGTGTCGGGACCTGTTTGTTTTTCGACCCTGACCCTACGGATCTGCGTCACGGGTGCCACCGAATTTCGGAAATGTGGCAAATCCTTACTTTTTTTTGACCTTGACCCTGCGGATCTGCGTGAGGGGTGCCGCCGAATTTCAGAACTGTGGCAAATAACCTGTGTTTTTGGACCCTGGAGGGGTGCCGCCGATTTTTTCCTGGAAAGGGCTTGGGCCCAGGGTTCTCTTTTAGTTGGTTTACCCTCGGTTTTGACTTGAAGGGGGCCAGCGGAATTATTCTGGATAAATAACGAGGTAAGATCAAATTCGGCTTGAAAAAAATGCGTTTCGCGCGTGCCCTCTCGAGGAAAGTCGACCCCCCATTTCGGATCCTCGATAAGTAACGGGGTCCGCGGACCATTGTTTTCCTTTGTGAAAAAAAAGTGCTGGGCAATTTCAGCAGAATCCTCTAAAAAAATCGAAGCCTGGAGCCCCGACAGCGACGCGGAAAAGCGCCCTGCGCGCAGGAATTCCGAGGATGTCTCGTGCGTGCCGCATCCCGCGCGCAGGAATTTCGAGGATGTCTCGACTAATTCGCTTGTCTTGCCAGGAGTTCTTTTAATTTTGATAGGATGTCTCGAGCGAAATGCTTGTTTTTCATAATTTGTTAAAGATGTCTCGAGCGAAACGCTGGTTTTACAAAATTCGGGGATGTCTCGAGCGGGGGCCTCGTGGAGGACCAGAATTCAGAGGATGTCTCGAGCGAAGTGCTTGTTTTCACGTCCCGCTCGCAGGAATTCCGAGGATGTCTCGCGCGTGCCCCGTCCCGCGCGCAGGATGTTTGAGGAAGTCTAGACTAAGTTGTTTGTTGGCATTTTGATAAGATGTCTCGAGCGAAATGCTTGTTTTTCATACTTTCTTGAGGATGTCTCGAGCGAAACGCTAGTTTTACGAAATTCGGGGATGTCTCGAGCGGGAGCCTCGTGGGGGGCCAGAATTCAGAGGATGTCTCAGGCAAAATGTTTGTGTTCACATCCCGCTCGCAGGAATTCTGAGGATGTCTCGCGCGTGCCGCGTCCCGCGCGCAGGAATTTCGAGGATGTCTCGACTAATTTGTTTGTTTTGTCAAGATTTCCTTGGATTTCGACAGGATGTCTCGAGCGAAACGCTTGTCCCCAGCACGTTCCGTCGCGCGTCCCCTTGGAACGTCCCGCTGTGCGTCCCCATGGCACGTCCCTTGGCACGTCGCTTGGCGCGTCCCTTGAGACGTTCCGCGTCGCGTCCTCCTGGCATGTCCCCCTGTCAACTAGCTCTGGGGCTGCTACTATGTGTTCAGGCAGCTTGAGCTTAAGATCCAGATCAGTTCGGTCAGGACTTGGATGCAAAGGATGACTCGATCCACGAGGCTATAGAGCACAATCGCGGCATGGCACGTCGCAATTCAGCACGGCGCAGCACAGCACAGCCCTCGGCACGGTACATCAAGATCGATACACTCAGCATTACAACTTGGCACGTTCCTTGGCACGTTCCGTGGGGCGTCCCTTGGCGAGTCACCCTGGCACGTCGCGTGGCGCGTCCCCTTGCACATCCCGTGGCACATCCATTGGCACGTTCCGTAGCGCGTCCCCTTGGCACGTCCCGCGGTGCGACCCCATAGCACGTCCCCTGGCACGTCGCCTGGCGCATCCCTTGGGACTTTTCGCCTGGCGCATCCCCTGGAGCACAGCACAGCCCTCGGCAGGGTACATCAAGATCGATACACTCAGCATTGCATTTGCCCGTCACCCAATCAGGTGTCTTTGAAAACGCTGCCATGTGTTACAGTTCTATGTTCCTTTCCGGGTTCGTTGGTCGATCATGTTGAAATGTGGCAAATCTCATGTGTTTTTGGACCCTGGCCCCGCCGATCTGTGGGAGAAGTGCCACCAAATTTTAGACATGTGGCAGATCCCT